TCCTTAAGTTTTTTGTACAGGAGACAGAAATCTAAGAATTGCGATGCATTCCCCTTTTAATTCCTAATTGCTACTACTTATGTTGTCACGCCATATTATTCAGGTTTCCCTGTAGTGAAAAAATAAAGGAACTACTAAGGAAAAATGTACTGAGGAACGGTACAGATGGCTGAACTCCATCTGTACTGGAGTTGGGTGTTTGTTGAAGATTTTAGAATGGTAAAACTGACAGCTTCCTCTTTGCCCTTGTCAACAGATAGCCAAGTACATCTGTAGGTGCAAAAGCCACAGGGCCTATTAGACAAGATTTCTGAATTTCACTATTGCTTCTACCACTTGATCTTACCCTTAGTCTAGAGCAAATACATAAAACATCAAACTTGTGCTTCTGGGTTTTTAATAAAGAGGTCAAGATTCAGTGGGTTTATTAGAACATGGTAAGTCTACCTTTGTCCGCATTCAGCCAATGTTTGTTTGAAACACCTCTTAGGGTCCAGGTAGTATGCTTCACTAGTGTTCAATGTTATGAAAAAAGAAAAGGCAGTGGTAGTATCATAAAACTCCTCTGACATTTAGCATCCTGTAATCAACAGAAAGACTATCCAGAACCCGCGTGTGTGTGTGTGTGTGTGTGTGTGTGTGTGTGTGTGTGTTTGGACACATGGTCCTGAGTACAGACTCTTTAGTGCCGGTGGTATGACATTCTTTATGGTTTCATCTTAAAACTTTTCTTCCAGAAATAAGCCTATCAAGGACACATCTTCAAAACCTAGCTGCTGAGAGTGATAGCTAGAGGGAGGTTAGGAATTTACATAAAGCACTCACTATTATAGCTTCTACATACTCCTTTTTAGCTGGCGATTTGCCATGAAAATATTTTTGTAATAAGAACCTTGCCATTTCTGCATTTGGACTACTTGGATTTGCATACCAGTTTTGCCACCACATGACTGCAAGGAAGTTATTTACACTCTGGTCCTCAGTTACCTCATCTGTATAATGATGAGAAAAGTAATATATATATATATCTCATATGGTGGTACAAGGATCATGAAGTGCATTCAAAATTGAATTATGTGTTTATGGTTCAGTCTTTCATTTTGCTACTAAAGTGAATTAAGATTATCCGATCATCTGCTTTGAACCTACTGCTAGACCCATGGAAGTCCAGCTCTTCTAGCCTCTGAGATAAACCAAATATACACAATGTACAGGTCCTTTATGAAGTGGAATCTTGATTGTGAACTTTTCTTTGTTTTCTAATTTTAAACCCCTTTGTAAGCATCTGATTTGTTTATTCTAGAGAATAACTAAAGACAAATTAAGCACGTTTCAGTTTGCTGGTAACATTATTGAAATAAACTTTGCTCCCTTAATTTTCTAACCGTAGGTTCTTGTCTATGCCCTTTAAAGCATTAGATAATGTAAGGTAGGAAAAAATTAATCAACTTAAAAAATAAAATGTTTCCCTGGCTTTGCACAAAGTATTTCGCCCTGGGAATTAACATGATATAGGTCCTTATGCCATCTCTGAAATACATCAAGTTTCTTAAACTATTCATCTGCTAATGGATCTTGTCTCTCTGGCTATGAGCTTTGGAGTGAAAGTAATTTTGAAATCTCAAGTAATGTGACAAGATTCTAATCACAGAATTCCAACCAATCTTAAAAAAAAAAGTTGCAATGTTATTCATATTCTTGAGTCTGTATGTCAAAGTGGCAGTTTTAAGTACACTCACATACATGCAGAGAGAGAGAGAAGAGCCATAAAATACATTTTTTTCCCAAAAATATAACTTAGCCATGAAATTATGAGACCTGAGATGCCTGTATGCTTGGACTCATTGTCTTCATTTCTTCACATCTTCTTGTTGCAGATGCCCTAAATAGGCCAGCATTTGTGCATGCAAGTCCCTTAAAATAAGTACAAATAACATTTTTCTTTGTATAATTATTAAATCTTTTGCTCCCCTGGGTAAGTTAAATGCTCCTGAAGAACAGGAAGTATGCCATCTATGTTTGTGGATCTTTCTATGATGTCCAAAATGTACGTTTGTTGTTAATTGACTAGAATATAAGGATGAAAAGAAAGGTAGGCGTACCAGAAAGTGTTTCTGATATTGAGGAAGGTATTCAGAATCAGTGCATACATGGAATATAAATTGAGCCACAAGTGAAATAAATAGAAAGTATAAAGATCAGTTAATGGAGATACGGGAGTGTGGTGCATGGCAGGAGAGGGGAGAATAAAAATTACTGCACTGAGAAAAGAAGGAGTCAAGGACTTTTTCAAAAATCACTCACAGAAACATAGCCACTTGAATATACATCCAAAAACATAATAGTCAAAAAGCAGTATGTAAACACATGCAAGGAAAGGAATGGTTTCATGTAGTCACCTGGTTGATTGGAAATGTTAAGCAAAACTATTTACATAACATGCTGCATTTTACGGTAGGGCAAGAGATCATTTGCTTATTTTGAGCACAAAATGAGTTTTACATGCTTACTTAATCTGGGTTCAGAAGATCACTTCTAAATGAGAAAAATTATGGAACAAAAAAAGGAAATACAATTTTAATACTACAGGTATTACTGGAGTGTGTTTATGAAGAGGATTTTATGCAATGCATAAAATTTTGCTTTAAAATCAGGGCATTGCTTTGTATTTTATTGTTCAGGAGTAAATATAATTCCTGAGAAAACCTCTAATTTTATTATTTAAATGAATATAGCATATATAGTGGCTAAAACTGCCTGCTCCTAAGCCTACATGTTGTGGCCGAGAGTAAGAAACACATCATTTTGATGAATCTTTCCTACACGTGAAAACATTCAGTGGAGTCATTTAAAACACATGGCAGTGTAAGTGAGCACGTGAGGCCTAAAGACTAACAATAATATAAAAAGCAGAAGGAACAAAATACTAAATCCTTTCAATGGACTCTGAAAAAGAAGACTTTATGGACTTGAAGAAACAGCACGTAGCCTTCCTTTTCAGCATGGCAAAGTGAATGTGTTTCTGCCCTTCTAAAAAATCTCATTACAAAAGTAAGGATATGAAGAAATAGAAAACCTGATTTACACATGTCAAAACTCGAAGATATCTGTTACTCCAACTCACAGAACATTGAAAAGTGGTAAAATGACTCGGAACAGAAAAGGTGAAAATCAACGACCTGCCAATGGGATAGCGATAGAAAGCAATAGAATACCATTCGCCCTGCAAACTTCTGGAAAGGCTTTTGCATTGGAGTAATTGGCTCAGTTACTGTGGAAGGAGGGGGTAGATGGGTACACTGAAAGTGTCTGTAAGAAAGGGTTAAACCCTCAGCGCTCTGTCTCCATACCTACCTCTACCCCTGAACCCTGTGAAAGACATAAAGTATATGCTCTGGGGGAAACTACATCAGTGAGGCTCTGGATTGGATATGCCAGCCAGAGAACAGCATCTCCCTGTTCAGGGAGATAGGAGATTTCAAACAGGAAAGTTAACTGAGAAAATAATGAACTCCTCCAGAGAAAAAAATATACAAAAATTAGCTGAGTGTGGTAGTGTGCGTCTGTAATCCCAGATCCTCAGAGGCTGGGGTCAGAGGATCCCATGAGCCCAGGAGGTCGAAACTGCAGTGAGCTATGAATGTGCCTCTGCATTCCAGCCTGGACAACAGAGCCAGACCCTGTCTCAGAAAAAGAAAAAAGAAAATGTTAACATACTCATAATTGAAAGACTCCCCATTCTATAAAATGAGCCAGTTGACTACTTATTTATCTTACAATTTAATTATTTAATTCTCAGCGTAAATATTATTTGTGATATTTAATGCTATATGATGCACTGGTAACTAACAAACCCTGAAATCTTATGGCTAACACAATAGAGGTTATTGCGTGACTCATGTGAAGTCCAGTGTGGTGGGCCGCTCTCATCTTAATCTGTTAGTTACGCCTTCTGAAACAAGTGGCCATCAGGGCCTTCGTGGCGGGGGCTGGGATAGAAGGTTCCTGTCTTAGTCCAGAAGTGAACACTCAGAGTCCATTGTTCAGAACCTTTCACAGGGGAGAAGTTGGGAAGCATATGGAATATTGAGTAGCCACCAACTTCCCTGCAACTTTGTGCAAATTTATGTTCAGGTTCTTGCGGGACACTTCACTTTCTTCCCATGTACCAGCCATAGGGCTTATTGTTTATTTCATTGAACAGTTAAAATCTGTTTTAAATTTAAGAGCTAGCACCTGTTGCCTGCCTAAGATGTCTGGCATTGTGACAGGACTGAGAATACAGAGATGCCTGTAACATACATGCAGTCTCTGGAATGAAGGGTATTTTATCATTTACCCTTTATTTCACGTTTGCTTTGAAATAATGTTCAGATCATTCTCTTTTAATGTTCACAGGTGGGTGAAACAGTGATTAGCTCATTAAAGACTATATAATAAGTTATTGACTTATGATCAACAGGATGTTGTGTCCCTGTCGCAAATGTTTAATTTCGGATACTTCTCTCAAATCTTGAGAACCACTCCTCTTTCCCTTTTAACTGAAATAATTGTTGAGAACTCTTTTCTTCTTTATAATGGCAACATTTGAGAATCTCTAATATGCTCCATAGATAAGTAGCTGCAAATTCATCTATTTCTCAGTATTACCTTGTGGTTTATTTCTGATGTTCACTGAAGCAGGTCTGTAAATTAATATTAATATGAAATGCTGTATTGAAAGTTTCACAGCATATCAGTTAAAAGCAATTATCCAGGAAGAGTTTTTGTATCTGAGTCAGTCTTGCAAATGCATCTCATATACTTTTTGAAATGAAATAATTCTGATTTCAAAAGATACGTTTATCGTGGAAATACGATTATATCTGTTCTTATTTGACTGTCTAAATCTACAGCTTGAACTGCTTCTTCCAGTGGTGCATCTGATCTTTAGTATGTGGATTCTGAGAGTATTAATCAATTCTTTATAATGTTTGGTTTCCTTATGTTTTCTATTTCAGAGTACCCGAGTGGCCTTGGACCATCTGGAGTCTGTGCCTGAGAAATTGAGCCTACTAGAAGATTTCAAAGACTTCAGAGTGAGAAAGAGTTGGCTTGTCTCTTTCAGTATTTTTATCTGAGTGAGAACACTTGACATCTTCCTGATGTGCAAAGAAAAGTACAGAGAAGGAAGAAGGTCTAAAAAACACTGGAAACTTTTAACATACCATCTTATCAGAGTTTATAGACATTTGTGAAGTTAGAATTGAAAACAGTGAAACATATATTAGCACAAGATAGGAAAATAGAGACTTTTACTATACTACTAGAAGCTTAGTTGGTCCCATAAAGCTTTAACAATAATTTAGAAAAGCCTAAGAATTCAAGGGAGTTACACATTATACTGTCAATAGACAACTTTTTTGATTAGCAATTTTAATTTGGGAATTATTTGGGTACTGTTTGTTTTAGAGATATGGTAGTTCACAGGTTATCTTTATACTATGACACAGGAATTCAAATCCACATAAAGTTTCACATTTCATATTTCATGGCCATTTATTGATAGAACTCTAACCACAAAGCATTTCATTATCAAGCTAATTAGTTACATGTGTTAATTTACTTTGTGTAATTTTTAAAATTCCTCATGGAGGAGATATGCAAAGCAAATATCTCTGCTGCCAGTCCTGCCAGACAAGATCTGGTCCAGAGAACATCACATATACCCTTAGGGCTGCATATATAATGTAAAATTTTAATGATTTATCATTTATTGACCTCGCATAGCTGAAGCCAACAATGGGAGGATTTCTTTTCGGCAACGATGTAATCATATTTTACATTGCCCTTAAAATATAACTCATGTTATATTTAGGTTCTGTTTAGATCTGACATATTATTCAAAGATACAGTGTACAGAAAAATAACCAGATCATGCCATATTGGTTTATTGGAAGCACTGATAGGTTGGGGTTCCCAAGGTCTTCACTATCTTAAAATTACCTTGCATTAAGCATCTTTTGCTAGTTCAGTAACTAACATTTTTGAGAGAGTTCCAGTTTAGCTGAAACCTCTGGTAAGCTAGACCATCCCAAATTGAACAAAACCAAGTGTTTAAAATATATTTTCCTAAAGTTGTGATTCCTTCTCATGATTTGATTATATATTTTCAGTTTAAATAGCTATCAAAGAATTGTGAAACTATGTCCAATGCAAATTCTCTTTACTCTTAACCCGATGTGATAGCCAGCAATATGTTATGCCCGTAGTCTTTTCTTTTTCTCTTGTAACTAACAGAAATTATCCAAGTAAATGAAGGGCAGACAAGAGAAAGAAGAGGAAACAGGTGGCACTTGTCACTGAGAAATAGAAACCTGTCTTATACCACTATAAAAATATAGTTTAACCTCCAGAAACAGATCGCATTTTCCCCAGTTGTCTACATTGAACGGAATGTTCATAAGTACAATTTAAAAATTGTATTCTCTACTATTACCAAAAGGCTCGTTATTATTTTTAATCCTATGAGCTAGTGATGGTCTACAAGTCTAACTCATGTACATACAGACTCATATATGAAGATGCCTAGTGATATTTTTAGGGAGAATCTTTTTTAGAGTTCAGCATTGTACTTTCCAATATATTAAAATTAAAACCTTTAGCTTGAAAACAAAAAGAGTTAATTAGCAAGTGTCATGCACTCACTGCATAATACTTAGCAGGTGCTAAGTACTTTATGGTACATGTTTCCTAATCTTCCAGATACCCTATAGATGGGTGTTATTTTTGCCCATTTTATAGATGAAGACACTGAAGCTTGGAGCCCATAAACTAGCTGGAGGTGGGATCTAATTCTGTGTAAAATAGCATAGCCCATCTGCTTCGCCCTGCTGCTTTTAGCTTAAAATCCATTCTAGGTGTACTCAATAGCTGTTTATGTGATTAAAAAGAGCTGATTTTAATCAGCTTAATAAAAATGACTAGACATAGCTTTAAATGAAAAATACATAAAGCCTTGAGATTATTAGATGTAGATTATATTTATTCAAACCCTTTAAACTTTCGAAAAATCAGTGTGGTGTGAACAAGAATGCAAAGACTTAAGTTATTGTCCAAATTCATGCACCAGACAAAAATCACTTAATGTCTCAGGAGATATGTCCACATTCATGTGAGGCACTTGAACAATATTATCTCTGGGTTCCTGTGCATATATTTCTCAATAGTACCATATGCCTATGACTTAAGTGTGAGTACAGACCTAATCCTATTTAGATAGGCCTGACTTTATTCTTGTTTAAATGTGGTCATATTCATTTTGAAAGAATTGTTGGCCAGGCGTGTTGGCTCACGCCTGTAATCCCAGCACTTTGGGAGGCCAATGTGGGCGAACCCCCTGAGGTCAGGAGTTTGACACCAACCTGACCAGCATGGAGAAACGGTGTCTACTAAAAATACAAAATCAGCTGGGTGTGGTGTCACATGTCTGTAATCCCAGCTACTCAGGAGGCTGGGGCAGGAGAATCGCTTAAACCCAGGAGGTGGAGTTTGCATTGAGCTGAGATCATGCCACTGCACTCAAGCCTGGGCAACAAGAGCAAAACTCCATCTCAAAAAAAAAAAAAAATTGTTTCAGCTCTACAATTCCGTATTTAAACAGTACATTTTTGACAAGGTGGAAAGCGAGTAGGACTGGATTCCATGTCTAATCTGTCACAAATTGTCCAGCTCTGGACACATGATTCTCGACTTCCCTGAGCTCTAGTTTTTTAGAATTTTTTGTGTTGTGTTGTTTTTGTACTAAGCATGAGAACTTTGGAATTATAGTACCCCTTCTAGCTTGAACATTGAATAAGTTTAAGGTTTCTTGGGACTTTGAGGGACACTAAATCCCATATATATTTTTTTATATGCCAAAATCAGTTGTTCTCATTCTTTTTCTAATTTCCGCCTAAATAATAATAGAAATGTCTAAATAATTGTCTATAATAACTATTTGCTGTATTCCTTCTTCCTGCAAGAAATGAAGAGAAAAAAAGACAAGCCCTGGAAATTTTTGTTTTCTTAATTTTTGTTATTACCTGAATCTTTTTATGCTTATAAGGCAAAGGAGTTTTCCTTTAGTTTAAAAATCTATGTGACATAATAATTAAAAGGTAAGATGTTGTTTATGGATAAGTGAAGTAAAATGGCTCTAGTTTTACAGGTAACAATTTTTAAAAACAAGAATATATTGATGCCAAGTACCAGTCCAAGGGACTAGTTTTAAAAATTCAAGTAACCATTGTGGGATGCAGTGTAGTTTTTATGGGTTTATCCATAGTAACAATTTTCTTCTTTTTCTATTTCTTTTTTTTTTTTTTTTTTTTAAGACAGAGCCTCATTCTGTCATTCTGTCACTCAGGCTGGAGTGCAGTAGTACAATCTCACTGCTACCTCTGCCACCTGGGCTCTAGCGATCCCCCCCACCTGAGCTCCCTGAGTAGCTGGGACTACAGGCATGCACCACCACATCTAGCTAATTTTGATATTTTTTATAGAGGTGAGATTTCACCATGTTGCTTAGGCTGATCTCAAACTCCTGGACTAGAGCAATCCTCCCAGCTCGGCCTCCTAAGGTACTGAGATTACAGATGTGAGCCACTGCACATAGCCTTCTTCTTTCTCTATGATGGTCTATGATTCTTCTATAGATCTATAAAGTCTTGAACTTATGTATTATCATTTTTATCTATGTATAAACTCTTTCTTATTCTAATTTCAAGCACCAATTTTCTTTTATCTACCAGTTCAGACCCTTTGTTTTTTTCCCAGGATTCCTGCAGTTCATCTGAGAGAATTGATGGAAGATATTCTAAATACAGGGTTCGCAGAAATTCTCTTCAGCATCACCAAGATGACACCAAGTACAGAACCAAAAGTTTCAAAGTAATGTTCTTTATATACATTTTTAGTCTTTTAGTAGTATCCATGTTGAAGGCTACAACCTCTTAAGCAGCCTCTGCAGTATTTGCGTAAGGGCACTTGTGAAAGAATATATTTTCCTTGATATATTAAATAGATTTTTAATTCTGTGGAAATAGAGACTAAAAATCCAAAGTTTGTGCTTATCACATTTTGTCTGGGAACTAAGCCTTAAGTCTGTGCCATCACTGCTTGATATGTTATTTGTTCATGAGAACTGGTGCCGTTTAAGAAATCCTGAGCCAAGAAACCCCTGGTCACTTGATTGGGCAAAATCTTAGTACGATGCTCACCTTCTTCTAGGTATAAGTCTGGCTGCTGTCCACACTGAAATCTGCAGTAGGACGGATCATATAGTGTGCTTTGGAATTCTAGTCATTTTCTTCTCAAGGATATGAACTCCCAATTAATACTTCAGCTTTTGGTTTATTACCATGGAGCCTGCACAGTATACTGGGAAGATTTAACCGTATTAACAAAAAGCGTGCATTCTCTAGAGCCTACCCAGTATCCATCTGGGATATGGGTGATTTAAATTCATTTGATCTTGAGCAGCTCTTAGTTTGGGGCAGGGTTTCTCAACCCTGGCATTATTGGTATGTGGAGCCAGATGCTTCCTTGCTGCAGAGGCAGTCTTAGGCATTGCAGCATATTGAGTTGCATCCCTAAAATGTACTCACTAGATGCCAGTAACATCTCCCATCTCAAGTTATCACATCCAAAATTGTCTCCTGATATTGCCAAATGTCCCCTGGAGGGCAAAGTTGCCCCCTGTTGAGAATGCTGACCCAGAGAGAATCCATCTATATTCAAATGTGCACTCCACATCAATTAAAGGAAAAGCTAAAGGTTTTCTGGCTTTTTATATGCTTACAAACTTGAATATGTATGAATATTCATTGCACTGTATATATTCACTTATTACAGTGAAATATAATTATTTCTAAGAAGCATCTTTCCGAATGTAATTGGATAGAATGCTCAGTGGATAGAAAGACAGTGTTCATTTCCATACGTCCTTCTTAGCATGTTTAAAACGGGCACTATACTTCCTCCCTTTCAAATAAAAATTAATGCAATTAGGACAAGTTATTGATACACTTAGTGTAAAGAGAGCATCCTGTGACTTTGTTCCTTTTTACTTTTTCTTTTAAATAGATTTGTGTATTCACAAGTAGTGACCTTGTCTCGTATGGCAATTTTTGAGTTCCCTAAATTATCTTCCAATATTCCCAGTCAGGTTTCATAAACTCAGGCATTTCTGTACAGTTTAAAGGAGTGCTGCTAACCTATAACCAGAAATACTAAGTTTAGGCTACGAGAGCTAATGATTATTGAGCATATTTTAGAACAAACCACAAGACATTTCTCTTTTTGTAGATGTTACAAGCCTTATATACATTATCATATTTAATATTCACAGCAATTCTCTCAGGTAGGCCTGATTATTTTTCCTCTTTTACCATTGAAAGACCCAAGGTTTTAGAGTAATTAAATGGTTGAATTGGGATTAAAACTTAATCTGCCTGACTTTAGTGATTTACGTCATTGGCCACTGTGCCATTAGAGTATAAATTTAGACCTCATATACCTGATTTTTTCCAGAAGTCACCAAATACAGGAATATAATTTCAATATGCAAAAATTAGTGTTCTCCAAAAATACATAAACATAATACATGCTCTTAGTTCAACAGAGGTCTAGATGCAAATGAAACATTTAAAACATTATTTCCCAGTACACTTAGAGTTGGTATCAGGTGAATTAGTGCTATCTAGTGGCACCCAAATTGCTATAAATCAATGCAATTTCCATAACAGCATATGGCAAAGCTATGAATGGTTAACATGTTCAGCAAGTAATCTCATTGGAGTTCTGTTTAAAATTACATTTGCAGCTGAAGAGGGAATCCGGCCTAGTTCATAAGAGAGGCCAGCACTTAGCAAAATGAAAAATAAGTTTGAAAATTTTGCAAATAGATAGTGCAAGTGTAGGATAGAGCCGCAGAACACATTTTATGGTGGCGTCGTTCCACAATAATACTACTTAAATATTTTAAAACTGATACATTTCAGCAATGAATAGACTATCACCATATGTCACAGATTCCTGGCCTGAAATAATGTAGTCATTTAACATAAAACTCAAAGGAATGTAACATTTTTGGTAGTCATTAGAGAGGAAAATATAGGAACACATTTCTGCCAATTGTAGATACCAATGGTCATTTTCTCATTTTCCTTTCATTAAAATAAGTGTTTTAAAAAGACTGAGAGAGGGGGCAGCTTTAAAAGAATAGTGAGCTTAAATGAGTAGTGAGCAAGTTGTGTTCGTCATTTCTTGTCTTGTGGGTACTCAGAAGAGCCATCTCTGAAAAATCACTGATATCCTGAAAAAATGCTTCAAATAAGAGAAATAGGAACTCAAGAGAGCATGTGCTCCTTATTCCAACAGTTTCAGAAGACATTGTTTCGACAGCTATTAACTGTCCTTTCATTTGCTAAGACAGAATTCAAGGAAAAGGCAAATTACAGGGACTTGAGTTCACTGGTTCTACTGAAAACTACAGTTCCAGGAAATCAGTGTACAATTCAGTTTAATGCAACAAACATATACTGTACAGGTACCATATTGCAAAACACAGTACCTGTGGGTGTGGAGGTGGGGAATAAATGTATAAAGATGCAGAAAGCATGGACTTAAAAGAATAGTTACCTAGTCATCTGAATTCTAACAGGTAATTAGTGCACAGATGTTCTAGAGCAGAGGTTGGCAAACTGCTCATGGGTCAAATCTTGCTTGCCAACATTTTTGTAAATAAAGTTTTATTAGAATACAACCACACTCATTTACTCACATATTGTCTTTGGTTGCTTTTGCACTGAAAGGTAGAGTTGAATAGTTGCTATGGAAACCATATGGCCCTCAAAAACTAAAGTATTTACTGTCTGGCCCTCTATAGAAAAAGTTTGCCAACCTCTGGACTAGAGGATGAAGAAATTACTAATCTGCTTCTTCTTTTAAACATTATGTTACATATTTCCTTTTCCGTATTTACCAGTCAAAGAGATACTCTCCAAGTTCTTTGGAAAGTCATAATACTTATTCATTGAACAAATATTGATTGAGTGTCAGCTGTGTGCCAGGAACTTTCTAGGTGCATGGGACTCATATCAGTGAACAAAATGAAACAGAAATCTCTGGCTTTCTGTTGTAATTGGAGGATATTCATGTTTTTGTTGTTGTTTTTCTAAACACAGCATTCATCACACATTTATTGGATTTCTAATGCAAAACAAGGCACTGTGATAGAAGCTCAAGAGAATGGCATAATAAGAAAAAAGATTTCCAACCCTTAGGAATCCTTCATACAAATAACTGTAGTATGGAAGAGAAAAGGGCTAAGTGCTATCAAGGTGGCCCCAATAAACCACATTGGGGGTTCAGAGGAAAGAAAGATGCTCAAGTGTCTTTTGAAAAGAGGTTTATGATGACAAGGCACAAGAAAACAGTTATCCACATCTCAGTTTGGGAGAGGATCACTATTAGAATTCAGTTGTAGATTCTGACTCTGTTACTGTTGACAGACAAGTAACTGTTGGAAGAGCAGACCATGCTGGCAACTGGTTTCTGTTATGTTGTTACTGTTGTAAGAAGGCACTGACACAGCCAACATGACCACACTGCTGGTGTAGGGAAGGGTTAGCAGGAAGTGGGCAAGTCGGGTTCTCTGTCAGTCAATCCTAGGCTAGAGCCATCTCCTCTGTTTATTCTTGTGGCAATCACCAGGACAAAAAATGAACAGCTTTCTAGAAACCTGTCAAGATTTTGAGCAGGACCAACAGCCACAATTATGAGAGCATAATGTAATATTGCCTTAAGTTGACCAAGCTAACTGGACAAAGCCTGATCTAAAAGCTTATACTTAGAAATCATTTCTAAGCTAAATCTCAGACAACATTTTCTCTGTCTTGGTGGACAAGAGAAGCATTTCATGGCCTCTCTTTCATCAAGCCCAATTGGATTTCTGTAGGACATACAGGCTTCCTTCCTGTCTCAGCTGTTTCAAATAGAACAGAATGTTCAAAAGTCAGCCAGTAACACAGCATTGCTAATTCGAATTCACAGAGGAGCATGATTTTGTCCAAGACATCTCCATTTATTACCTTTACCCATACTAAATATATGGTTTTAATTAACATTGGAATTTTTTTGTAAAATTGCAGAAGGCATGTTTATTCCCCATCCTTCCTCCCCATGAAAGAAAAGTCATGTTTTTTAACTTCTAGCTGAAGAGTTAGTATGCAGTTTCTTTTTAAACAAACAGATGTTTTATGGGATAAGATGAGGTAGGCTAGGAAGCATTAATAATGGCTTTCGGTAGAGTCTACAGAAGCAGAGTTTGCCAAAGCCCTGTCATATTTGTTCAGTGTAAGCATGTTCGTGATATAAATACATGTTTTGTTCCTGGAACTCATTTCTCCCTCATTGAATCTTTGTGATTTGTTTATACCTTGCTCACAGCAATTAATGGCTGTTAGCACTTCTCAAGTCAGCTATTTCTGTACATTATCTTCAATCTTCTGTAACAGTAGCTTCTAAAGCATGCTGTGTATGATTCCTGGTACAATTCAAGATTATAGGTGATGCATAAACATTTTTATTTTAATGACTATAAAAATATGTTACTAATGTATTACGTTAATTTTTATGGATATTGCTTAGGAATAGTAGCGGCAACCATGGGAGAATTTGAGAGCACTTTAACCCTACAATACTCCAATTATCTTATTTATATCTACTCCATGCTTTGATAAGAAATGACATGTAAACTAATACACAAATACAGCTCTGTGCTTCTCTCTATCCTTTAAGCCTCCCCTATACAGACTGAGAATGCAAGTTGAATGTAAACAGTAGTAAAACTATAGGTGAACAATGACATTTGAGAAATGCTCTTCTAT